TGGTGAGGTCCATGTGTATAATCATCTCTTATGCTTTCTAAAGAAGGTATTTGAAATGAACAAATCATTGGTTTTGCAGAATTCTATCATGCGATCTCCAGCATCATTTCTATCACCAAGGCCATATTTTCCAACTACTGATCCTTCCTCTTTGCTCCCAACCTTTGCATTCCAATCACCACTAAAGATCAATACATCTTGATTGCATGTTTGATAAATTTTAGATTGAAGAAGTGGGTAGAAGTCTTCTATTTCATCTTCTCTGGCTTTAGTGTTTGGTGCATAAATTTGAATAATAGTGGTATAAACTGGCCTTCCCTGTAAGTGCATGGATACTATCCTATCACAGATAGTGTTGTACCTCATGACTTACCTGCATATGTTCTTTTTGATGATGAATGCAACACCATTCCTCTTCAATTTGTCATTCCTGGCATAGTAAACCATGTGGTTGTCAGATTCAAAATTCACCTCTTTTTGGATGGGCACAAATCTGTATCTCTTCCATTTAGATCTTCCACAAAATCATATAAACTACTCAATACATGAGAGCTGACTGGTCATTTGTTTTTAACATCCCAAGACTGAAATTCAACTCAGCATAGAACAGCCGACTTTGTCTAACTGTGAGGCCACAGTTAGATGAAATTAAAGATAGGCTTGAGGTAGGGAGGTGGATAGTCTAGTATGGTGAGAGACAACAGTGACATAACTGTTCATTTGAAGCCTGGAAACTAGGCTGAAGTTGGCTTGTGGGACTTTAAGAGGCAATGTCCCTAGTTGCTCTTTAAATAAAATATTTTAAAGTTTACAATCCTAAAGTAACACATACTTTACATATCTAAAAATAGCTTAAATATAACAGGTAATCTTAAAATGTAACTGCTGATCACAATGAGATCATATTTATATATTATGGGCAGATAAGACATACGGAAAATGTTTTAGTTGTTTGTTTTTTTGTGTGTTGTTGTTAAGTACCATGGAGTCGGTTCCAACTCATAGTGACCCTGCACAGGGTTTCCGAGGCTGTGAATCTTTACAGGAGCAGAAAGCCTCATCTTTATCCCGTGGACCAGCTGGTAGTTTTGATCTGCTGACTTTGGGGTTAGCAGTTCATTGTTAAATTGAGCACAAGTAACAGAAATGATGCAAATTAAGTAATGCCCTACAAATAGATAACAAGAGTAATTCCTGATTCCAGATGACGTCTCTAGGTATTTTAGGCATAATTTTTTTTTAAGTTAAAGCTTAAAGTTTAGAATAAGGAATGAAAGCAAATTTTTAAATAGAAAAATATGCTGGAAACGGTATCTCTTAGAATTCACTGAAGTCTCCTTCTGCATGTCCTCCCAAATCCCACACCTTGGTAAGTCACAATATTAGAAAATTTAATTGCTTAAATCTATCATAACTCTCAAGAGTCAGCTATCTTTTACCAAGTTAAATATTTCAGCATTTCAGGAGACTGTAAATCGCTAAGTTTAAAGTTATGAAACTCTAAAATACTACTTTCAAATTTCTAGAAAGTGATCCTTGAGAAAAAAAAAACAACCCACTGGTTTCTTTTAGTTCACTTGGAAAGCCATGTTTCATACGACAAACAACTTAAAATAGATTATTTTAGTTAACTCTAGTGCCCTTAATAGCACAGCTGACATATATTCAATTATACCATCTATATATAGTAATTAAGGAACTCTGGTAGCATAGTAGTTACGAACTGGGCTGCTAACCTCAAGGTCAGCAGTTCGAAACTACCAGCTGTTCCGTGGGAGAGATATGAGGCTTTCTGCTCCTGTAAAGATTTACAACCTCAGAAACCCTGTACAGGCTTGCTATGAGTTGGAACTGACTCCACGACACACCACCAACCAGCCATATACAGTAATTAGTGCTTTGCTGTGGAATATATAAGATATAAAATACATCGTTATAATTATAATCTAAAATGCAATGAAGACAAGATAAGCACAATGGCAAATAGTACAGAATCTGGTTGAAGTTTAAATTATACCTCTGCAAGGTCTGAAAAGAGTGCTTGGCTTGTGTTACGTCTCAGTGTATCCCAATAGCTTCTGGAGACAAGTTCCTCTCCAACTGTTTTAAGTGCCTGTAGAAGTTTTAAGAAGCACAACTGAAATCTAAAGAACAGTCACAAAGAATGATCATTTATACACTTTAAATCTCTTCTAACCAACCTTGAAAAGAAAAGAAAACACATTAACTTACCTTTTCTATTTTCTGCTGCACACAGCAGTATTATATTACACTGCTGGTAAACCCATGTTACCTTCAAAGATGTAATGGTATACAACCACTATTTCTAAGTCAACGCAGCTTTGTCAAAAAGAATCAAATTCTCCCATTCATGTTCTTCTACTGAAAGATGCATAACTTTTAAGAAAGCGTAAAATAAAAATCTTACGCACACCTTTTGTGAAGCTAATTCGTTTGAATAAAGCTTTAGGTAATTTTATCATAAATTATAAAAATCATGCCTAATTTAAAATGGAATTACTGTAGGATGGCACCTAACAACAACAACTAGCACTGTAGGATAAAGCACTGGACCCTTGCAAGGTCTGTTTGAACTGCAAGGACTATTTGAACTGCAAGTTTCACGGTTCAAAGCCACCAGTTGCTTCTCCAAAACCCTATGAGATGGATAACAACTCAACAGCACTTAACAACATTATACAGCTTATTGATAACAGCACCAAAAAGATCATAATTATACTTAAGAAAGCAAAGTTTAAATTCATTCAAAACATGCCAAAAAGAAATATGCTTATTTATGTCAAACCATTCAAAGCCACTTTGATAGGTGTGTTTATTACAAGTAGCTAAGATGCTTTCTGGAGTCCTGGTGTGGCCCTGTGGGTTAATGCAAAGCTGTTTGAACTGCAAGGTCAAGAGTTCAAGCTCACCAGCTGCTCCTCAGAAACCCTATAAAGGGTCACTATGGGTTGGAATCACCTCAACAGCACTTAACAACAAGATACTTTCTAATCTTTACTACTACAGGAGAAAGCTCTATCTTCTATCTCCATCTTGGCTACTCTGAAAAAGATATCGAGATTCAAAACATAAGCTTCAAAAACATAACATAAACGTCATTTGAAAAAGTACAAATGCAAGTGTAATTTGAATTTCTACAGACAAAAAAAAAATTAAATGAGTTTTGAAAGAATTTGGCAGAGAAGATTTTGCAGGTCTTAAGCTTTGGTGTTCTTTTGGCTAGTGTGAGAAGAAAATGCCATATGGAATACTTCGGAGTACTCAGGAGTAAGTGTCTGATAATAAGGCAACTTTTTAAAAGTCTGATGCCACTAATAAAATTATGGTTCATCTAGAAATTATTGCAGAGATCTTCTAATTATAATCCATTGTTATTAACTGCTTATATTTTAATAAAATATTTCAAAACATTAATAATAAAGTATTATTTAGCAGGAAACATGAAGTCCTGGTGTGGTACTGTAAGATAAGCACTGAAGTGCTAACCTAAGGGTCAGTGGTTCAAATCTATCTGTTGACCCTTGGAAACCCTATACAGGGTCATTGTGACTCGGAACTGACTCGACAGCACTTAGCAACAGTATGAAAGAACACAGATATAAGTATTATCATCGATGTAATGAGAGTAAATCTGTTCATCACCCATTTGTCACTAAATAAAGTTTGACTACGTCATGAGCTAAATAAGTAAAATAAGCTGAATATAGAACAGACAAATTCATTTAAAAAATACATAGGTACAGTATACTCCAATAAATACTAGCTGGACTGAATACGTAACTCTGCAAATATTATTTGAACATTTTGAAATAGATGCATTTTTTATTGTCACTTAGATTGTTAGTATATGATCAAGAAAGGACTGCTAAAATTATCAAACTAGAAAATAAAATTTAATGTGAAATATTGTTACATGGTATCCTGGTGTGGTGCTGTAGGATAAGCACTGGACTGTAAGGTCGATGGTTTAAACAGTAAGGTCGGTGGTTCAAATCCACCCGTCACTCCCAGGAAATCCTATAGAGGTCGCTATGAGCTGGAACTGACTTGACAGCACTAAACAACAATTATTAGGATGATAACAGGAATGATCCTGTTGTGAAATCTTGCCTCTTCTCGACTTCCAAACACTGGCCACCATTTGAGACATACATCGATGAAACTAGAAAAATATTTACAACATATTGAGGCATACAATTAATTTAACAAACTACATTGACAAGCATATCTACACAGAAATTATTTCTGAGCAAAGAAAAAAGCAAAGTAAAAATATGTACTGATTATTTCTGAATAGTGAGACTGTTGTTATGTGCTGTTGAGTCAGTTCCAATTCATAGTGACCCTATACAGGGTTTCTGAGACTGTAAATTCTGCTGGGGGCATGAAGCCTCACCTTTCTCTCACTAGTGGCCTTGAACCATTGACTTTGTGGTTTGTAATCCACTTCTTATCTTTAACACCACCAGCACTCTCTTTGTATCATATTGTTGTTGCTGTTATATGCTATTGAATTGGTTCCGACCCATAGTGACCATGTATAGGGTTTCCAAGGTTGGTGGGTTTGAACTGCAGACCTTGTGGTTAGCAATCCAGTGCTTCTCCTACGGTGCCACACCAGGACTACTTTGTACCATGCTATTATTGTTTAGGGCCACTGAGTCAGTTCCAGTCCATAGTGAACCTATATAGATTTCCAAGGAACCGTTGGTGGGGTTTCAATCACTGACCATAGGGTTAGCAGTTCAGTGCTTAGCCTAAAGCACCACACCAGGATTCCTTATATCATATGTTGTTAAATGCTGTTAAGTTGATTCTGACTCATAGTGACCCTGTAAAGGGTTTCTGAGAAGCAGCTATGGGCTTGAACCTTATGGTCCAATGCTCACCCTACAGTACCACACCAGGACTCCTTGTATCATATTGTTGTTGTTGCTAAGTGCCATCGAGTCAGTTCTGACCCATAGTGGCCCTGTATAAAGTTGCCAAGAGCGGCTGGTGAGATTGAACCACTGATCTTGCAACTCCAACCTTGCAATTCAGCACATTAACTCACAGTGCCACACTAGGACTCTCGTATCAGATAGTATCATTTTAAGCATAAAGTTTTTGAGGGCAGAGACAATATCTCCTCTGCAATTACTGCCATGCCCTGTAACAAGTAAAAATATGTGAAGGACTTCAAAAAGTTTGTGGAAAAAAATGGAATTGAAAGATAATGGATTTTTCCACCAATTTTTTTTGAAGCCCCCTCATATAATGAATAAGAAAAATTGCCAAACAAAACAAATATATCAAAGACTTGCCTTGCACAATTGATAATTCCTATATATGTATGTGTTATAGAGCCAGTATTTAATATTTTAATCAATGACTTGGATGATGAAATGAAGAATCCATTTTCAAAACATGCAAAACTAGTAGGAATCTCTAAAACCAGAACATATAATGAAAAAAAAAACAAAAAACATGGAGGAAAAGAAGGAAGAAAGGATAGAAAGAAAGGGAAAGAACAAAGAAAACAAGAAAGAAAACTGCTTGGAGACTATATTACTGCGATAGCCAGAAAAATGGCTTCCTAAAGGAGTCCTGGTGTGGCCCTGTGGGTTAATGTGCCAGACTGCAAAGTCGTTTGAACCAGAAAGCCAGCGGTTCAAGCTCACCACTCACTCCTTGGAAACCCTATACAGGGTCGCTACGGGTCGGAACCGACTCGACGGCACTTAACAACAACAACAACAACAATAACAAAGATGTCCAGGTGTGGCGCTGTGGGTTAATGCGTCAGACTGCAAAGCCATTTGAATCTCAAGGTCAGCAGTTCAAGCTCACCAGTCACTCCTTGGAAACTCTATACAGTGTTGCTATGGGTCAGAATCGACTCGATGGCACTTAACAACAACAACAAAGATGTCTAAGGGAATGCGGTAGCTCTGAAGGATAAGCACTGGACTGCAAACCACAATGTTGGCAATTTGAGCCCAGCTGCTGCTCTGTGGGAAAAGAGGAGGTTTTCTGCTCCGCAGAGATTTACAGCCTTGGGAGTACTATAAAGGACTGTTATGAGTTGGAACCAACTCGACAGCACTTAACAAAGATTTCATGTCCAATCAGGAAAATACCCTATATACAAAGTTGGAGTCCGAGAAAAGTTCTATACAGAAATTAGGCTAACTAAAGGCCAAAACCAGAAAGCCAAGCAAATGGTCTTTACTTTGTTGTTAGTGTTAGCTGCCACTGAGTTGACTCCTAATGCATGATGACCCCACGCACAACAGAAGGAAATATTGCCTACTCCTGGACCACACCAAAGATCGCCTGTTGCTTGAATCTGTGTATTCTGCAAGGTTTCCATTGGTTTATTTTGGGAAGGAAATTTTCAGGCCTTTCTACCTAGTCTCAGTCTGGAAGCTCTGCTTAACCTGTTTAGAACCATAGCAGCATGTAAGTCTCCACTGAGAGTGATGCTTAAAAGCCCACAAATGCAAACAATCAAACACACAGAAAACAAGCAAATACCAGAAAACTGTAACTTTTAAAAATCTAAGACAACTGTGACCCTTAAAACTGTAACCTGAAAATTATCATTTAAAGATACTGGGCACTGTAGTATCCAGGAAAGTAAAACTGACAAAGCACAATTCCTCCCTACAAGGCAACACCTACAATCTAGTCCTTAAAGAACATCCTTACAGAGACACTAAAATATATAAGCTCACAATACAAAATTATGAAATAAAAAAGAATATGACATCATAGGTAAGAGCTAGCAGAACCAACAAACAGGAGAACCAGGTTTGAAGATTTTAGTTATAGCAATAATTAGATTTGTTGTTGTTGTTAGGTGCCATCGAGTCGGTACCGACTCATAGCGACCTTATGCACAGCAGAACAAAACACTGCCTGATCCTGGGTCAACCTCACTACTGTTGCCACGGTTGAGTCCACTGATGCTGCCACTTGGCCAACCCATCTCACTGGGGGTCTTCCTCTTTTTCTCTGACCCTCCACCTTACCAAACATGATCTCCTTCTCCAGCGACTGTTCCCTCCTGACAATATGTCCAAAGTATGAGAGATGACGTTTGGCCATCTTGGTCTCTAAGGAGCACTCTGGCTGCACTTCTTCCAACACAGATCTATTGGTTCTTTTGGAAGTCCATGGCACTTTCAATATTCTCCTCCAACACCATAACTCAAAGTCATCAATTCTTCAGAACACAAAATAAGCTTAAATAGTCTAAGAATATGAAAGTTGAATTTGAAAGGATTATTTAGGAAAAGAAATATGTAACTTTTTGAAGTGAAAAATGTAACCACTAAAATTTATTATCAAATTAGTGCAGTTGTAGAATAAATATACAAGATAACTACAGAGACAAGTATAAATAAGTTATAATATAAAATTCAGCATGCAGATATGAAGCATGCAAATTATTATTAGTCTATATTGTTAATCTTATTAATATCAATTGGTATCAGTATAATATGTGTTGAAATATGGCAAATTATTTTTAAAGAGAGGTCAAGAGACATTGAAGGAAGCCGTAATATAGAATGAAAACTCCAAAAAGTATTAATAGAACAAATGGGAAAGAGACAACATTCAGAGAGATAATGGCAGTGATTTTCAAGAATTTAGGAAAAGATTCATTATCTTCATACTTGAGAAGTCCAATAAACTCTATGACAGAAAGTACAATGAAGAAAATACATTGTTGTAAAATTGTAGTACATCAAAGGCAAAGAAGATCTTAAACAGTTAGAAAGAATACAGAACACCTATAAATAAATATTACACTCAGTTCCGATTAAAACCAATATAAACAAATATAAAAGCATAAACAAAATATGCTTTTAAAACAGATACACTGAAAACATAAGAAAAGAGAGATGTTGAAAAAGACATGCCAGCTTCTCTTAAGTTTAGAAGTTAGCACCAATCTTTCAATTAAAAATAAATAAATAAAATATAAAACTGATACAGCTTCTTAAAAGGTATCCTTTGCATTCGGCATTTTGTTGGCATTCACACTGATGGTAAAAGCAATAGTGTGTCAAATTGGTGCTGCAGCCTTTTCAGAAATCAAGGCAGTGTATTAAAGACCAAAACGTGATTACATTCTTCAGTAGTCATTCTTCATTTCTGTGCCATACACTCAATGTAAAAAAAGAAAAATCAGTTCCTTTATGAGAGGTACTATGTAGAAAATATATAGTTTTCCCAACAAAAACCATGACTTTAAATGAAAAGTAAATACTGCCATGATTATTAGAAAATGGTTCATGCAACGACAGATTAGAAAAAAACCTCATACAGTCATAATTATTACCAACATTTATTTACTACATTTCACAGGACATGCTGCTTTATAATCTGTGAAATTTCCATCTTATATATTCTTACAAGTTTTTTTGAAATTATTAACAAAGGAAATCTTTTAAATTTTAAGAAAACGATATACTTTATTTAGTATAAAAGTAGTACTTTTATAGAAACATATTCAAAATATTTTTTAATAACTAAAAAAGAATTAGTCAATGATAAGAGTCTCATGGATGGGGCTTCTTTTTCAACCTAAGACATTTGCCTAGACTTAAGCCTAGGTAAAGGAGTTCTGGCAGCATAGTGGCTATGAGTTGGGCTGCTTACCTCAAGGTCAGCAGTTCAAAACTACCAGCCATTCTGTGGGAGAAAAATGAGGCTTTCTGCTCCTATAAAGAATTACAGCCTTGGAAATCCTATTCTGGGTTGCCATGAGTTGGAACCAACTCCACAGCACACCACCACCACCATTCCTAGGTGAGATATATTAGGTTCTCTTTATACTAAACCAGCATCTACTATGTATGTTTTAATCTAGATAAGAGTTAGTCTTTATGTTGGGAGTCCTGGTGTGGCGCGGTGGGATAATGTGCCAGATTGCAAAGCCGTCTGAACTGCAAGGTCGGTGGTTCAAACTCTTTGGAAACCCTATACAGGGTCGCTATGGGTCAGAATCGACTTGACGACACTTAGCAACAACAAATCCAATACACGATGTAACACAACTGCTTTTTGAATTGTGAACTTTCAAAAGCATAATACTGAGTCAGCCACCCTGAATTCAGGGGCTTCTCAGGTGGAATTTTTTACAATTTGAGGGATCCTTCCAAATGAATTATGTCTCCTTGGAGAAGTTTAATGGACTATGCATGTTCATATTCAAAAGAGGCCCTGGTCTATTCTTAGTTACTTAGTAGCTTGCTAATGAATTTTTGATTTTCTCAGGAACACAGGATAGAAGAAAGTTCAGCATAAGAAAATGAGGATAGTTGGAAGTTTATTTTCAGGAATGCCCAACTTTTTCAGAAGCAAGAAGTCTGAAAATCATAGTCCTCTTAAGATATACTGGAACACACTGATATATTTAACACATAATTGATACAGTGCCAGTTTATACCAGATTATTATATGGTTCATAAGCAAAAGGTAGGCAATAAAAGTTTTAGAACAAATTTGGGAGAAATACTAAAAACCAGGAGAAATCTATTAATTAATATACCTCTTTATTGGAACTGAGAAAGATTAATTATACCTAGCTCATAGATATCATTTGGATTACTTATGGAAGACCTAGCTACAATATGAAATTTGAATTATACCATGTGTTCTATAGCCACATAGCCTGAGAATTTCCATACTTTGTATAGTTTTTTAAATACAGTTGAAAACTGTAAAATTTCCAATTATTCTACCAGAGTTTTTGTTTTGTTGTTCTCTGATCTTTCCCTTGTTTTAATATAAACAGTAACGCTGTATAGTTTTCTCCTAATTGTGCAATAAAAATAAGAGATCGGCTTGACTGCATCTTGATTGTATTCAACAAATTCCTAAAAATAAAAAATCGTAGATACAACTTTACATAAACAATATTATCAAGTATAACAGGTGAAGGCTATATACATAAAGAACAGTTAAAGTATTGTACATACACTATTAGTAGAAGAATGGTATCCATAAAGTTGAAGACGCTGACATAGAGCACAAAGGGCCAAATGAAGTGTCACATTTCAGAATGAACCCAAGTATAGCAAAAGAAAAAAAGAAAAAGATGACAAAATAATCAATTAGAAGGGCAAATCATTATGCTACATTCTATATAGAGCACACACACAATACAAGTGGTATAAATGTTAAAGATGAGTAGCAAAGTTTTGAAAATCTCATAATTAAACATTAAATGAATTTGTGCTCATTTCAAACATTTTCATTATAACTTTCTGATAGAACTATTTTTGAGTAAAACATGTTCCTCTTTAGTATGCAGTTTTATTTAGACTTGCCTCAGCAATCCTCCACGGGATTGGGTAAAACTGAGATACAGCAGTATGGCAAAGTGGAAATGATGAGAGACTTGCACTGGAATTCTGGTTATACTCCTAATAGTGCTATGACCTTAGGCCAGTCAATTAGCCTCTCTAAGATTGTTTTCTCATTTGCAATGCAAGTATGACACTTACCTGAGAGAACTGCAATGAGGACTAATGGGAATAACATTTATAATGGATCTACTACAGAGTGTAACACAGTATAAGCATCTCAACAATGTTACATTCTTTTCCCTCTTTCCTTCTGAAATCTAGTCACTTTTCATTTATATAAATATTTTAATTTACTTTTGATTTATATATTCAGTTTGAAGTAGAACTTTGAGCAGAACAAAATTCTGTGTAGGGCTGTTGGATAAGCACTGGAATGCTAAATTCAAAGTCTGTGGTTCAAACCTCAGAAACACTATGCAGGGTCATTATGAGTTGGAATTAACTCAACGGCACTTAACTAGAGTTATATTTTGTTAAGTAGCTATGTGCTTTTAGCTCATTTAAACCCTATAACAATCACATATAGTAATTACTATTATTATCTGCATTTACAAATGAAGAAACTGAGATACAGCATGTATGGATCTGTAATGAGTGGCAGGAAGGATTTGAACCCAGAAAATCTTGTTCTTAAGCCTGGGCTGTGCTGAGGTCTTTCTAATGTCACTGATGTATTTTCACTATAAGCTAAGTTCAACTATTTTAAAAATCAACCAAACAATCTAAGGATAGAGAGACCTGTACTTCATTTCTATCAGCTTGAGAACAGCACAATAAATTCTACATAATTCTCTATAAAAAGGTGTGGTGCTGTAGGCTAAGCACTGGGCTGCTAACCATAAGGTCAGAGGTTCAAATCCATCCTATATAGGGAGTCCTATATAGGGTTATCATAAGTTGGAACCGACTCAGCAGCACTTAACAACAACAAAGAAATAGAAAGTAAAACCACATTAGTTCAGATTCACATGATATAAAACGTGACTATTAACAAAAAGTTATCATTAATTATCATTATTGTTAAACATGCTAACTAATATTTGTAGTAAGCTGTATTGTTGCAGGGATCACTGGTGGCACAGTGGTTATGCACTTGGCTGTTAACAAAAAAATCAACAGTTCGAACCTATCAACTGCTTCAGGGGAGAGAGATGTGGCAGTCTTCTTCCATAAAGATTACAGCCTAGGAAGAAACCATTACAACCTTGGAAGAAACAGAGTTCTACTCTGTCAGGGTCACTATGAGTTGCAAGAGACTAGTTTTATATTGCAGTAGAGTGCTGTTTTGTTTGGGAGCCATACTCAGGATTATCCATGAATTGTTGTAAGGAATAGTTTTGATCCTTAAATTATGTAAATAAGATTTCAGGAGGACTATTAAACTGAGATAAACAGACCAGCTACTCCTCAGAAGCCCTACACAGGGCTGCTATGAGTCAGAACTGACATGATGGCACTGAAAAACAATAAAAGTGACCTATGAAGGTCAATGACTATTAAGTACTTCTTTATATATAAACAAACTATATATTACTCATAAGTTATTTTTATCTGTTTTTTAAAATAAGCCTCCTTTTCCTTGTCTCTGCTAGGGAATAATAATGATCCGTAAACATTTAAAGTAATACAATTTAGAGTATACTGGTATAATTCAAAAGAGGCCTGTTGATGCTGTAAGCTAGGCAATGAATTACTAACCACAAGGTGAGCTATTCAAAACCGCCAGCTACTTTGTGGGAGAAAGGCGAGGCCTTTTGCTCCTGTAAAAATTTACAGCCTTGGAAATCCTATATGGGGTTGCTATGAATTGGAATCTGCTTGTTGACAGCGGGTTTGGTTGGTTGCTTGCGTATAATTCTAATTTCATAATTTAGATAGACCTTCTATAATTAATCCAAATTAATGAGGATTTAGCAAATTACTATTATGAAACTCAGCATTTACTTTCCAGTACCATGACTGAAGTAAAGCTCAAAGCCTAATTTTATGTGATGATGTTGTTTTCCCCAGTGTGGGCTACCTGCTATGATTTTTTCCTTTCTCCCTTTGTAACTTAAGTGTTTTGTTGTTGTTAAGTGCTGTCAAGTAGGCTCTGACTCACAGCAGCCCTGCACAGGGTTTCCATGGAGCAGTTGGTGGGTTTGTACTTCCAACATGGTGGTTCGCAGACCCCTGCTGATCCTACCATACCTCATGAGGCGTTTTAGTAACTGTTAATGATTATTATTGTATTTTTTAACTGAAAGATTCATAAGTCAATTCTGAAAATAGCTTAAATAAATAAAATGATTGTATCTCTATTTATTGAAATACTCTCTACTTTATCTCTGAGGTATATTAATAGGTGGTATTTTATAAGGATTTTCCTATCCTGTCTATCAATTATAATTAGAGGCAATCTATCAAAAAGGAGCCATGGTAGCATAGTGGTTATGAATCAGGCTGCTAACCTCAAGATCGGCAGTTCGAAACTACCAGCTGTTTTGTGGGAGAAAGTGAGGCTTTCTGCTCCCATAAAGATTTGCAGCCTTGGAAACCCTGTGCATGGTCACTATGAGTTGGAACCAACTTCATGGTACTTAACAACAACAACAACATCAAAATTAAAACAACTGTTGACTTTTTCAACATATTAAAAATAGTATGTAAAATGTATTCAATTCTCTAATCTTATTTCCTAATATTCCAAAAGACTGTATTTATGAGACTATTCATAGAGGATACGCTAATTAAAATTTGAAATCCATGAGACCTTAATTAAGTTAAGTAGAGAACTAATAATGAACTTTTAACATTTGGCCAATATGATAAGTTTTTTGATTTTTAAGAGTACCTTCCATAAACTTTGTAAATTAGTATATTGGAGTTAACAAACACTGCTCTTAACACCACAGTCACCTATTCTATGAACCATAATGTACTTTGTAATTCTAACAATCTGTTTTTATTAAACTAAACAGAAACACAAATTTCATAAATATAATGGGTTTGAATATGACACCATCAGTTACAGATAATCCACGTTTTAAAAAGTCAAATGCATATTCTTAGAAGAATGGGATTATTAAAAAAGTTAACTTTCAGAAATTAATTATTTGAATTTCATACACAATTGAACTACTGGACAGAAACACTGATTTTCAAATGAAACAATGAACATTTTCATGATGAAGAAATATAATGGTGTTTAAAAGCAGGCTTTAGAATTAATTAGTATTGGGTTCAAATCCTGATTTGCCATTTAATAGCTATGTAACTTTGAGCAAGATACTCAACCTTTCCAGCTCTCAGTTTCCTTATCTATAAATACAGATAGGAGAACTATTTAGTATATTAATTTTAAAAATGCATGCAAAATACCTAGTAAAGTACCTGCCAGTGTCTGACAGCAAGTGAACTTGGTCTGTCATCAGACTGAAATACATGAGACAAACAAAAAGAAAACTAAAGGAAGAGGAAGGAAAGTGCGACCTAACTAACTTCAGAGAAGACAAATATAACTCATACCAGAAGAACCTAGAATATATATTTATAAAAATACAAGGAAACATATTCCTTTTTTTGCTTTAGGATTCATACTGCTTATATTAACCTCTAAATTCACTTACATTTAGAATTAATCTTTGCAATTCACCTTTAAATTTTTATATGCATAATGATCTACATTAATCTATTATATGACACACCCTTCAAATCTCACAGATAACAATAGTGATGAAAATAATTCAATGCATGATTATGAATATGGATGTTTAATATCAATATTTCACATAAATATTGATATCAATGCATATAAATGCTAAAGCAATTTCTCTAACAACATTAGAAAGCTTTTAAGAAAGGGACAGCTTCAAAGTTACAAACTTTAATTGTGATTCTAAAATAAATCTTACCTAAAAATCCCATTGAACTACCTACTATACATTATCCTTACCAGCATTGCACGTTTTTCTTCATCTCCTTTAGTTTCTCTCTTTTCATTTTTTTTCCTGAATATCTCTTGAAGCTAAAAAGGAAACCAATCAAGGCTCAAAAATCCAACAAGAGGTTCTGGACACCCACCTACTACCCAGTGTGAAGCACATTCTATAAACAAAGAAAACAGCTTCATTTATTAACAAAATTAAAACAATGATAGGTACATTTTCTGATTACATTTTTTTCCCTCTGAGGAAAAGAAAATACATTAATTGTTACGAATAACGAACAGTTAAATTAAACTCATCAGTCAGTTTGTTGTACTGTGGTGGTTTTTGAGTTGCTGTGATTTTGGAAGCTATGCCACCAGTATATTAAATACCAGCAGGATCACCCATGGTGGACAGGTTTCACATGAGGTTCCAGATGAAGACAGACTAGGAAGAAGAAGTGACAAACTACTTCCAAATATTTAGCCACTGAAAACATTATGAATAGCAGAGAAAACACTGTAAGACATAGTGCTGGAAAAAGAGTCCCTCAGGTTGGAAGGCACTCAAAATGTGACTTGGGAAGAGCTGCCTCCTCAAAGTACAATTGACCGTGATGATGCAAATGGAGTAAAGCCCACAGGATCTCCATTTGCTGATGGAGCACAACTCAAAATGAAGAGAAACAACAATCCATTGAAAATCGGAACATAGAATGTACAAAGTATGAATCTAGGAAAATCGAACGTTGTCAAAAATGAAATGGAACACATAAACATTGATATTTTAGGCATTAGTGAGCTGAAACAGAGTGGTATTAACCATTTTGAATCTGACAACCACATGGTTTATTATGCTGGGAATGACAAATTGAAAAGGAATGGTGTTGCATTCATTGTTAACAAGAACATAACGCTGTCTGTGATAGGATAATATCCATGCGCCTACAGGGAAGCCCAGTTAATACCACTATTATTCAAATTTATGCACCAACCACTAAAGCCAGTGAGGATGAGATAGGAGAATTCTACAAACTTCTTCAATCTGAAATCGATCAAACATGCAATCAAGATGTACTGATCATTACTGGTGATTGGAATGCAAAGGAATGCAGATGATACAACCTTGCTTGCTGAAAGTGTTTCGTTCTGCTGTGTGTAAGGTCGATGGCACCACCACCACCAACAACAACAAATTAAATGTACACAATTATAGCTTTATTGCTAAAATATAAACACACAGAATCTTTGGCACACACATACAAAGATAAAGAGCAGAAGTCCGTTGGGAAATAGGGACCACTAGACTAGAACTCAGGAACTGTGTTTGAATCCAGGTTTGAATCCAGGTTCCGTTATGTATGAATTTTATTTTATTTTATTGTGGACAGGTAATACAACCCTCGCTAGGCTACAATTTGCTCACATATGAAATAAGTATGGATTAGATGGCTTCTAAGGTCTTTTTCAGGTAACTGGGCATGATAGTGGAAGCACAGTCTTTGCATCTATAATTCCTTGGGCAAGTTATTCTTACTGTTCAAAGCTCATTTTCCATTTCTGGAAAATAGAGGTAACGCCTCACCTTTTAGGAGTGTGTGTGTGGAGAAAATATGAGGGGCTTTTAAAAGTTCATAGAAAAATGGAATGAGAAGATAATGGAATTTTTCCTCAAACTTTCTGAAGCACTCTTGTATTGCAAGTAATAACACATTGGCTGCCTCATAGTACATTCTCAATAAATGTTAGTGATTATTATAATAAATGATATGATTTCTTCTTTAAAATCCTATAATTTTACAAATGTAAACTTAATCTCATTTTATATCAGTTTCCTGGAGATCACTGTTATTATCTGAATAGTTATTTCAACTCTGAAATCCAAGGTCAGTGGTTCAAACTCAACAGCCACTCCTTGAAAACTCTATACTGGGTCACTGTGAGTTGTAACTGACTCCATGGCACTTAAGAACAACAATATATAACATGAAATAGTATTTCATGTTATATAGCAAGAGTTGAAAATAAAATACAATGTATATCCTCCCAAGACATGTAATAATATTTAGTAATACTAGTTGCTGTTGTTGTTAGGTGCCATCGAGTCGGTACCAACTCATAGCGACCTTATGCACAGCAGAACGAAACACTGTCTGATCCTGGGCCAACCTCACTACTGTTGCCATGCTTGAGTCCATTGATGCTTCTATTTGGCCAATCCATCTCACTGGGGGTCTTCCTCTTTTTCTCTGACCTTCCACCTTACCAAACATGATATCCTTCTCCAGTGACTGGTCCTTCCTGACCATATGTCCGAAGTATGAGAGGCAAAGTTTGGCCATCATGGCCTCCAAGGAGCACTCTGGCTGCACTTTAATCCTTGAGGTGACATCTGTGCTCTTCAACACTTTAAAAAGGTCTTGTGCAGCACATTTGCCTAATGCAATATGTTGTTTGATTTCTTGACTGCTGCTTCCCAGAGTGAGGATAGTTGATCCAAGAAGAATGAAGTCCTTGACAACTTTTCTCCATTGATATGAATGTTTATTGGTCCAGTACTGAGGATTTTTGTTTCCTTTACATTGAGATGTAATCCATACTGAAGGCTGTGCTCTTTGATCTTCATCAGTAAATGTTTTAAGTCCTCTTCACTTTCAGTAAGCAAGGTTGTATCATCTGCATATTGCAGGTTGTTAATGAATCTTCCTCCAATCCTGATGCCATGTTTTTCTTTGTATAACCCAGCTTCTTGGATGATTTGCTCAGCCTACAGGATGTATAAGTATGGTGAAAGAATACAACCTTGTCGAACACCTTTCTTAATTCTAAACCATTCAGTGTTCCCATGTTCTGCTTTAACAACTGCCTCTTGGTCCAGATACAGCTTCCTCATGAGCACAATTAAGTGTTCCGGAATACTCATATTTTGCAATGTTGTCCATAACTTGTCATTATCCACACAATCAAAAGCCTTTGTATAGTCAATAAAGCACAGGTAAATATCTTTCTGATATTCTCTGCTTTAAGCCAAGATCCATCTGACGTCAGCAATGATATATATCCCTTGGTCCATGGCCTCTTCTGAATTTGGCTTGAACCTCTGGAAGTTCTCTCAATGTATGATTGTAGCCGTTTCTGTATTACCTTTAATAAAACTTCACTCGAAAGGGATATCAAAAAGTTGTCCGATGATTTCCGCATTCTGTTGA